AAAAAATTCCGAACAAAAAATATGTTATGGAGAAAAATAAACTAAACAACATTTGCCTGGGCACTACATCCAAATTCTTTACCAAATTTGAATTAAAAATCAAATACATAAAATAAACACTATGATAAGAAAAAATAAAAAGAGAATTAAAATGAGTGAGTGTGCCAGCACCTTTTGGACACCGCCATCTTTGCCGATTTTTAATTATTTTTTGGGATTGACAAATGCCCTGAAAATTTACAGATATGTAGTTTACATAATCAATAACTTACTAAATGTTTTTCAAAAAATAATTAAATTGTTTAGGCCCCGAAAAAAAGTGAAAACAAAAAGTTAAAAGTGAAAAAAAACAAAACAGTGAGTGGGTGAGCACGTTTTGTCACCCCCATCTTTGACGATTTTTAATGTTTTTTTGGCTTAGCAGAATGGCTTCAAAATTCATAGGCGTGTAGGTTACATCATAGAGAACTCACAAAAAAACATTCAGAAAACAAAACTTATTTTTAGTCCCTGAAATTTTTTTGGCGGGGGCCGAACCTGGAAGTGTTCGGGCCCGAACGGGACCCCGAACGCCCGAACGTTCGGGGGCCAGCCCGGGGGCCCCCGAACGTTCGGTCAGGTAACCCTGGTATATACTAAAAATATATATATATATATGTTTCCACAAATGAATTGAAAAGTAGGTCCATGTAATTGATCAATACTTCGTAAACAACACAACCTTCCGTTGCCTATATTTTGTAGCGCATCTGTTTTGGGTACAGAGGGTCATAGGTTCGAATCCTGTCACCTTGAGTCAAAATCAGAGTAAATTGACATATACTGTCCTTCGGGACATCCGCTAAAATTGGAATGATACACGCGCAAGGATGACACGCATAAATCAAGAAATGGTCCAAAGAAAAAAAGAAAAAAAAAAAGAATATAGTATATACAGCCATATCACATGAGATCTATTCTTGTGTTGAAAAAAGAAATCCCACCAGCCTGCCGCCACTGACTCCACAAAAAAAAATCCCATCATCTCATCTTGCCTACGGTAGTCCCCTAAAGAAGAACAAGAGATCTTTTCTTGTGTTGAAAAAAGAAAGCATATGGAAATTGCAAGAGAGATATCTTCCCATGGGCTCATTGTGAGCAAGGAACAGAATTGGAAATTGAACATTGAGTGAGAAGAAGACCAGATACATACATACATTGCTTCATAACCAATAGCTGGACTAGGAGCGCATGTGCACATATTGCACCCATCATCGCCCGCAGGAAAATGGACCCCCATGTTGGCAGCATACATCATTCCGTCCTTAGCTTGGCATACCATGCCCTCTGTGTGTGTGTGTGTGTGTGTGTGTGTGTGTGTGTGTGTGTTCGTGTGTGTGTGTGTGTGTGTGTGTGTGAGAGAGAGAGAGAGAGAGAGAGGAAGAGAGAGAGGGGGGGAGAGAGAGAGAGGGAGAGAGAGAGATGTTGTCAACCAAAAACAATGCATAAAAAACAACAGCAAGGAGGAAAAAGAGAGAAATTCAGGAACCTATGTTATCACATCCTTGGCTGGGCATTGTCATTCCCTTTCACCTGCGAACAAGATCTGTTCTTTAGGTTGTATGTCCCTTCGTAGCCTAAAACCCCAAACCTTAAACCACGAGCCAAAGCAACTTGAGAAAGCTAATGGCTCACTCCTAAAACTCCGGAGGCTCAGGGCTACTGGACCACGATGGCTGGCGGTGCCAGCCAAAGAAGGGAAAAAAGTGAGCTGCCGGCGGTTTGGCAAAGCCTGGTGCGCAGTGCGCGTCCGCCAGGCTCGGGTGTACTGGCCGAACTTTAGACCCTAAAAACCTAAAGCCTAAAGCCTAAGCCCGAAGACCCAAGACGCCAGAACCCTAAACCCTGTGCACAGTCTGGATGGGGTCTGTGGGACCACCACAGGCTCCAAACTGTGCAGAGTTTGTAAGAGGTACTAAAAACATGTTTTGTCCGAACCATGGTAACTATCCGGACGTCCGGACCGGGTTCCAGATAGTCCGGTGTCCGGTGTCCGTTCCTCATGTCCGGATGGAGGCCCCTGGGGCAAAAAAAAAAAAAAAAAAACGGGGCGGCCCAGGACGTTTATCGGGTCCTGGCCGCCCCTCGAAAAATAACGGGGTGATTTCTTAGTGTCATTTCACCCCACCGGACATGGCCTAGAGGTCCGGACACAAGACACTGCAGGTTTTTGAGGTGGCGGGTTTCGCACAGGCCCGAGCAATTTCAAAGCGGCCGTTTCGACATGGCGCCCACCGCTGCTGCCCGTTGGAGGGGGAGAGAG